TTGGTAGTGCGATGCGCCCGAATTGGCTAAGAAAAACAGCTGCGAAGAAGGTTTGAAGGGGAAAAGCAAAAGGCAATAAAATGAGATTTGCAATCTTAGGAAACTCGTAGAATTTGTGACTTATGTCTTGAGTTCTGGTATAGCTATATGATGGCTAGAAACGCATAAAAAGCTTGGATATGAAGATTTCTATTCAATACTCTACCACCTGACCCTCTAGGTCAATTTGGATCAGTAGTGGCCCCAGGGTCATACACCAGCTGGCACGGGGCAAGATGGATATCATTTTTGGGACAAAAAGTAAAGGGGATATCGTTTTGTCGACAAATTGTGTTTTTTCCTTTCATTTTTGTCGACAAATCTTTTTTTTGTCGGATTTTTAAGAATTTTGGTCTGGGATCAAAGGGTCTTCGTAAAAATTAGGGCGACTTCATTTTGAAAATTTCCTGGTGCCAGCTCGTACCGAGCCCTGAGTGGCCCGCGCTACTTTTACAAAAACCTTCTTTTTTCTTATTTCTAACAAAATTCTCAGTAGAAGAATCGTCACAGTAAAACACAGTTCATCTTAGTTGTATAAATTTTTAAAATACGTGCATTCGTTAGAATGACGCAACTCAGATGAGAGGAAAAGTTTCTTAAAATCTTGTTGTCATCAATGGATTAATACCAAAGTCCATATAACTCTGTCCCCGCAAAATTTCTAGGAAATCTAGAAATTATAATCATGAACTCTCTTCATGAAGATAATCACATTCCCCAAAATTTCCTTAAACAGGACCTGTTTTCTGATAGTACCAAATCTGAGGTACACTATCAATGATTTTCAGCTACTGAAGTCATTCGAAAAAGTTAGTAGGTTTTCTCATAACTCATTTCCTATTTCACCAATACCATCGCTTTTCTTCTCCTACCCCTCATTCAGTGCGGTTTGGGTCATCATTCGACAGAACAAAGCAGGACGGCTACCGAGCTTCCCCTAGATCGCATTCCATGTGAAGTTTGAAGCTGAATTCTGATAGTAGTTGAAAACGAAATCAAATGTCCAAAATTGTGTTTTGATCCCAAACTTCCAAAAAAATCCCACTTACCTTAGGCGTATACCAGACACATTAGACAAGTAACTATACGCTTCCCGTATTTCTCGCATGGTTAGAAATGAAGAAAAAAATGATGAATGTGAAATGACAAATTCCGCCCTTAACGGTCTTGATTTCCTTTTACACAAGTGATTATATAGCACATAGACTGAGAAGTACAATCTCATATACCCATGTAGGAGCCGAAGATTCAAGAGATAGAGTAAAAACTGAAAAAAAATTATGAGTCAACCCAACAGCATAAACGAAATTTTTGATACCTTCAGATATGCACTAGTTCTGCGATTGTAAATGGCAGTTATCCTACTTTCACTAATACATACTTGGATATTGTACTGCTTGGACCAAAATCATGACAGATTGTAACAAGAGCTTCTAGTCCTCAGGGTTTTATTGCTCAAGCAGCAAAGTTTTTATGTTATTGAAAAACTCAAGTTAGTATGAAATCATATGCTATTTTTGCAAAATCTTTTTTTTGTAGTGTAAGAAAGTGGGGCAAGTGTAAAGTTGCAAAATACGCCCACAAAACTGATTAATATGGAAAATATGGGAGCAGATTCGGTGGAAAACGTAACTAGCATTAACGTTTAACCCCAAACTACTTATTTTCTCTGGTCAGGTAAAGGACGATAATAGAAACTGAATCGAAAATAATGACGTTTTGCGAATTCTCGCTTTGGCGTGGTATAAGTTTCTGAAAAATTTACCTTTCTGAATGCTGGCCTTCGGAACAAGAAACCTTTTGCAATATGCCGCACATTCACCTATGTTCTTATCATGAACGGGCAGAAAAAGGTGGATTGTAAAACAAGGAAACTTCGCTTTTTAAAACCTTGCTTTTGGCAAATCATAACTCTCTTGTTAGCAGTCTGTTAGCATAAGGGAATGATTTTGAAAGCAAGGTTTCAAAATGTTATTGTTATTATTATTCAAAGCAATGTTACTCAAAGCACTGCAATATTCTAACAGATGAGGCTGGAAGTCCGCTTTAACCGTCAGAAAGAGCATAGAAATAGCTTCTCATTGTTATCCTATATTTGTTTCAAAGAAGAACTCTTGATAAAAAGGGTTGAAGGCTTGGAAAAACGCCCATTATTTTTGCGTCAACTCAATATAATCTACTACTTGATTGCCAAGAATGGCGTCAAAGGTAGCAGAGAACTGCGCCTTTGCTTGCTATTATTATAGAATGAATGATCAGAGAGCGGACAGCTGAAGCAGGTTGGGTTGGAATCAGTGATATATGAACAGCACGCCTCATTAAAGTTGAATTAAGACAAAAAAGAAACTTTTGTCATTGATAGCTATAGAATGGCTACGCGCAATACAATGGCCACTACAAGTTGAGAGTGAAATTAGTAGCTTAGAAAAACTTACACCAAACAAACAAAAGTGAACGAACTTGCTATTTTGAGTAGCTTATTATACCTGGGGGGCAAAGAGCGGTCTAGTAAGGTAATGAGACTTAGAAAAAGGAGTTATATAGGGAACTATGCAAGGAAGTGAAGAGCAGTCTTTGAAAGAACAGAAAAGTTGTTTATAATAAGATGCCCACTATACTTTGGACCGAATCGAATAAATATTCGTGTATTCGAATAAAGTATTCGAATAAATTTTATTCGAAACTCGATTATTCGAAAATTTCAAAATCTCGATTATATTCGATATTCGCTTATTCGAAATTTGTCAATTTCGACTTTTTTTCGATTATTCGGTTACTCGAAGATTTTGATTTTCGAAAATATTCGAACATTCGAATATTTATCTTCAGAAGTTATTCGATTATTCGACATTTTCGTGTAAGTGAATAACTACATGACAGCGTCACAATTTTGACTGCTATATCAGCAACCATCGTTTGTTGTCCAAGTTGCCCACTGCATGGAGTCCTTCATTGTGCTAATTAGTTTCAAATTTGTTTGAATATTCGACATAATCGATGCAAAATATTCGTTTACTCGGATTTTATTTCTCAAATATATTCGACTATTCGGTTTTTTTCAATTCGAATATATTCGATATTCGAATAATCGACATTTTTTGTTTTTCAAAATATTCGAAATTCGGTTATCCGATATTTGTGATTTTCGAATATGTTTGGTTATTCCATTATTCGAAAAAAATTCTCGAATTTTCCAAATGCCCACGTCTTTTTTTGCATTAAAAGTAAATGTGTGCTCTAATCGAAATTGTGTCAAGTAGCCATCACGTTTCAATGTAGACAATTTGTGAAATAATTTTCGTATAAGGTCGTTGAAATAGGGGAAAGCAGCAAGTCAATAGATAGTGTTACAAGAGCTCTCTGACAATTCCCCTTTTTAAAATAAAACTGACTCATTATCTCCTTGAAAAAATGTAGCCACATTTTCTTTTATTCAGATCAGAATTTCAAAGATTTCAATAGTTTGCGTTGATGTAAGTAAGATGAAGTATCATTGAAAATTTGATATTTGAAGGTCCAAGCACATAGTTTAGCTCGGTCTTGTGGATTTGTTCTGGAGGAGGGAAGGGGAACGGAATGATTTAACCTTCAAAGTCAATTTTTCAAGGGCCGATTTTACATGAAACTTTGCATTTTTCCATTCTTCTCAGGAGGATGTTAATTTTGACTACCTATTTTAGATGGTGTTTGGAAATGTGATGCGCACTGCCAAATCTTTTTTTCATTTTTCGTGATAAATGTTGTCCGATCTATCGGGAATGCTAATCTTGTTAAAAATGATCAAAACAATGCATTTCAATCATCGAGATACGAAACAGGCTCTGAAAACTGCTCAGATCTTGAATTTTACGTCACAATAACCAGCTTTCCTTGTGAGATTTATCTTTGTCAAAGGCTTAGATATCTTATAAATTTGTAGAAAAATTCATGTGGCGCTCATATATCATGCTTATCTGGAAATGTAGGAGAAAATTTGAGCATTCTTCATGTTTTTGTTCTGTCAGTATTTTATATTTATCTTTCTCAACAGTGTTAAATTATTTTGATTGATATTGCAAGCCATGAAATTAATTAAAAGGTCGTGGATTCCTTTGCAATAACTAGATTACTATATTTCTCAGTTAAACAAGTGATAAAACTCAAGAAAAATTCCCGAGCATAAACAATTCGGCAAATGCGCCAGGTAGCTCAGTGCGCAATGGCGCAGTTACCGCGCAGTCGTTGCAAAGTTCAATTCCCCACTGGTGCAGTTATACTAACTAATCTGAAGACTCGTGAGTGGTCTTGAGGTGTTGATACTGCATAGACAATATCTTTGACGTCAAACTTACATGATGTTATTTATCATGCGGGCTCAAGAGTTGAAGAATATACAGTCGTTTACATTTGATTAGTAACTTTGTGCAATTGCACCACTTCAATTTGCGAAACAAATATTTGACGGCAAAATTATCATTACTTTAGCAACAAACAAAAAAAAACGATGGAAGGATACCGCGAATATTCGAAAAACCTCACTATTTTAACGCCATCTTATCCTGCCAACGCAAATCCGCAAATTAGTGCAATTGCACAAAGCAATCCTATTGGTAATAGCAAGTGGAAGAGTGCAAACTTTATATGAAGATTTATTATATGAGTACAGCGAGTTAATAATTGACAACGCCATAATTGGAAAATGTTCTTTTTATCAGAACTTGATTATAAGAGGCTGTTATCTTTGTATACGAGATCTGAAAATTTTGATACATTCCAAGATTTGAACGAGATGGAGCTTTTTGACGCGCCGCATACGCACGCGTCCACAATCCTGCAACTCACCAATGTTAGCAATTTGGCATCAAAATAATTCTAGTTTCTCTTTCTCTTAGATGACGACTGACGAGAGGAAGCATGTTTTCGCACAGGCATGTTTTCCCGCAAATAAAGATCATGTGTTGAATGAAATTACTAAAATGCATTCAAACCTTTGAAGCTGAATTCTTCTGCTGAGTGTTCCGTTCACTTCCTTGTCGTAGAGATTGCCTTTTTCTTGCTTTCTTACTAGATATAGATTTTCTCTTCTGTTCCTTAGTCTTTATCCGTCTAGTAATTGAATTTCTTTGACGTACAGCCAGTTTGCGCGCCTTCTCTATGCCCGTCTGAATTTGAAAAGATGATATTTGGGTAAAGTTATCAGAAAGATTGACTCACATCACTACATGGTTTTGCGACAGCGTTATCAGCCTCTTTCTGAAAGATTAAGATTGAATGCGTTGAATTCACCGTAAATGGAGTATCAGTCTGTGACCTGCGTGATGAAGTTTCAAATTTCCATAAAAGCAAACCAGTGGGATACCAGGGACAGAGGATAAGGAATGGGGAAATTTTCGAAAGTTACTTATGTACATGAGTACAAAAATGTGCATGTGACTTGTTTGTACTTCAAATAATTAGAATAATGAAAAGTTATAGAAACTCAAAATAGCTTTGTAAAATTTTTTTGGAGAGTGGCTACGGCCACACCCCCTCCTTCCACAATTTCGAGGTTATGATCCGGCAAAAATCTTGGGAAGATTCTCATAAAATGATGCAATCAAAAATTTTCTTAGATGGCGCCACGCCCCTTCTATCGCGACTCACAGGCGGATATCTTCGGTTTAGCAACATTTTCCTGCTCTACTTATCTTTGAAACTCATATTTGCAGGCAACCACGACAGTAGTTACCATTAAGAGATATAGAACGAAGAAATGTCAGTTAATGCTATGGCCCGCTTCATCTCCGTCTTCATCCTCTTGTAGAGGAGATGACGAAGATGAAGCCGGAGATGATTCTTGTGCCCTTAACTATGCTAGGAAACCCAAATCACGCTAATATGTGCACATGACTCAAAATACAATTTGCGTTTTCAACCGCAATTTAGCTAATTGGACTTTGCTGCTATGCTTACTGATGAACCGTGTAAGATCAGGAATCTTGTGTTGGTTTAGGTGTAAAGCACAAAATAATAGCCTAATTCATGCGAAACGTCTGGTTGCCTTCGTACCCTTGTGGCAAACTTGAAGAACTTTTTGGAAAGCGGAAACAGCTTCGTTGACATATTTGACAAAACTACAACCTGCCCATGTTCCTACAAAAATTGGTTCTGAATCTTGTTTTTTTCTTATGGGGCTATGCTCTGTCAAATCCTACACAGAGCTTCAAAATCGTTGTTTCATAAGGCAAAGCATCGTGATAACGCACATAATTGGAGCAGAAGCTTCAAAAACTAGAATGCTCTAGAGGTAAGAACATGTATCATATCTCGTGCCTGACCCTAAAGTCAACGAAATACCATGCTCACCTTTTTCATATTCTTTTCTTCTGGGATCTTGTCCTTGTTTGAGCACACCTTATAGTTCGCGGGCAAGTTTCTCCCCGCTTTTGATCTAGAACGCTTTTTTTTCTTCGGCTCTTCATCTGAGTCTTCAAACTCCTTCTTAAGCAAAAAATGTGATTAGCTATCAAAGTACTTGGCAAGCAGCATATAACTGCAGTAACGGGTGCGGAATTAACTAACCAAAAGCTCCGGTGGAATTTCTTTGCCGAGCACGTTGCCGCTTTGAGCATTTACATCCTTCTTATCTAAATTTTTGTTATTTGCCAAGTTCAAATCATTATCTGCGAGACCAGATTTTTTGATTCGCTTCTTCTTTTTCTTCTTTTCTTCCTCTTCAGAGTCGTCGAGTTCTTTCTAAAATGGTATTGATGATTAGCTGCCGAAATCACTATTGAAGTCGGAGTTCATCAAATTACTGCACCGACGACTAACCAAAAGTTCCGGCGGAATGTCTTTGCCGACTACGTTTCCGCATTCCTCATCCGAATGGCATGTGCGAAGTCTACTGTCGTCGAAAGAACTAAACTGCTGTAATTTTTTGTAGCTTTGGCCGGAAAAGAGTGATACTATTGCTGCAAGTTTTTTATTGATTCCGTCAGTGAATATTTTGTTAACTATGATATTACACGAGGTGTACTGAATGGTAAAAAAAATAGCGACGTTCATGCTAAGATATAAGTCTTATTATCAAACTAGTTGACTTACCCGGCTCCGCCCGGCCCTGTCATTATTATATTCGTAATCAGTATGCTCGATTACCCCCCCTGTGCCAACTCCCACCCCGTAGCTCAAATTTTGCAAAAAATCGATAAAATCGATATCGATCGATGACGAAAAGTAGCCTATGACACTTGCCGGGGCGCAAAGTGTATGTGTGCCAAGTTTGGTCCGGATCGGTTCAGAAATGTAATTTTCTATTCGGAACATACGTACACACATACAGACAGACATATACAGACAAACAGACATTCAGCTTTATATATAAGATAAAGCAATCAACTAAGTCTAAAGAGTGAGCCTGTCTTGGTTGCAGTGTCCCTGCGTGCGGCTATAGTCTGTGCCTCAAACCAGTTTCGCAGTGAGATGTATACCAGTAGTTGCGGATTGAACTGATTCCAAACCTATGTTCATTATCTGCTGTGCGACTCTCTGAACGAAGTTATCGACTATTTTCTACATTAGTTTCACGAGACCTAGGCAGTTAGAATCGTCAGTATTCAATTTTTTAGACTCTAATATACCGGAGACCATTTTCCTAGGCTCAATGTAAAGCTTTATCTGACTCTCCTATATAGTGCAAGTTAGCATTCAAAGACATTCTTGAATGGTGTCACTAAAACAGTGCAAATTTCATTAGCAAAAACTGTTCATGACTTCTTTTGAAGAGCGCACAGCAGGAACCGAAAACAGACTTGGAATCAACGCTTCGAGTTGCATTTAATGGTATACGTTTCATTTCAAGAGGCCACGGTTACCAAGTATCCTTTCCTTCTAAGCTCACCTTCGCAAAGCCTTTACATGAGTAGAATGTGTAGAACTTTGCCATTACTTTGATCTCAGTTATCTCAATACATAATTCTGAGATCTCAGTGATAACGGACGGTGCTAATTGTGAGTATAGCAGAAAAAGTACTGCATCAATCTCAGAATGTTTCTCTTCTGTAGAGGAGAAGATCCAAATAGCCAAACGAAAAAAACTTGCGCAATAGTATGCAAAAAGCCTCACCGGCTTCTCAATAGGCTTTACATTGATTAGAAGATTCTACACTATGAGATTGGCTGAGAAGAGTATTACTTTAAATGTCAATTTTTCAACTATTCAAGAAAAAGGGGAAACTTAAGATGGCAGCTCTCAGAATGACTGTGACACTCAACACTCGTTCACTCGCTACTGTTGTGGATCGGTTATCTTAAATTAAAGAGGTAATACTGCAACAAAGTCAAGAAGAAAAACAAGCAAATTCCATCGGAAGCCAAATGACGAGACGCACTAGAGGCGTACGTTGGGGGTGCGTTGTGGGGGTAACTATGGGAAGCTGGCCGAGGCACACACTATACCCATCCATAACGTGAGGGGCTCACGTGCTGAGCTTGAGATGAGGCCGATTTGACCAATCAGGTAAAGTTCCCTCAAAAATTAAACGAGGAATTTGAGAGATGAATGTGCCCATCAAAGCACTACAATTGAAATACATTGTAGTAATTTAGGAGGGTGAATTTTGTGAGATGGAAATTTTGAAACACACGTCGGTTTTTTGAACTATACTGAGTTGCATTTGAGGCTTGAGTTGTTATACTCGAGTCATTTCTAACTAAATATGTGTAATGCACATAATGTGCCTTGCTTGACGAACTTGTAAGATTAGGACCTGCTCAATCCCAGTAATTTCTCCTTGTTCCCTTGTCTCTTTTGATTTGATGGTTATGCATTGGTTAGCACAACACATACAATGCGTTTGATGGGGACAGCGCCGCGTAGTGCAGTTACACACCTGCGCGCGAGCCCTACCGTCGACTGCAGCGTGCAGGGACTAAGCCGCGCAAAGCGGCGTGATCCTTGTATCAACTACTCTTCCTTCTTATTTCTTGGCTTTTTCGCTATTCTGCTTCCAAATTTCTGAGCTTTTCCTGTCTGAAACGCTACTTCGGTGCTCTTCCTGAGATCTCTCAAAGTGTCACTGCGCGAATTGGAAGACAAATTGGAGGTTTGAAGTGTAAAACAAGATGTAATCTAAATCATTTCATTTGAGAATTCTGAAAACGGCTGGGTGCTCTTCCTCTTTACAGATAAAGGTGGATATGAAACCTAGGCGATATACGATTATGCCCGCTGAAACAGAGTCGATGTAATGGATCATGACATCCGGAATCAGCCATCTAAAGAAAGCCTGGATGAAATGAAAGATTTCATGAGAAAAAACGCTCAAAAATTTGATACCTCCTTCCTTAGCTGCGAAAAAGAAATCATATTCGCTATCAAGACAAATCGCATTGAGCACCAGAGCAAGGAAAAATGGCAGTACATCGCTACAAGGAAAAGGAAAAATTACAAGATACAATGATAAGAACAAAGCCACGATGTTGTGCGCAACATGGTCCCTGCACGCTGCGCCTACGGTAACGCTCGCGCGTAGATGTGTGACTGCACTATGCGGCGCTGGCCTCGTTGAACGCATTGTATCTACAGTTTGTTAGGCTGGAAGAGGTTTCAGTGAGAAATTACTAGTAACGTTACCGTCGGTTGCCGTGCATGGCGTGCACACTCACATTTTAAGTTACATACGACTCGAGGATGCTGAATTGGAGATTCTCCTGCCAAAGTAGAAGACGCAATATGGAATGTATTCTATTTTACTACTTTGTGTTGTCACCATCTACAGCTCAAACTTCGTGTATGGAGTTGCTGTTCTAGGGAGCAACCAAGCAATTCCTATCTCAGGCCCTATAATCTGCTTCGTGTTTGAATAAGTGAAGAGAAAGCGTGTTTTAATAGATTAAACAGTTTCGCTCAAAAATATTAATCATTCAAATTTTTTTTGTTAGTGATTTTGTGCCGAACAGGTTTCGACTGATGTCCGTCACAGTCGTGCGGGCTGATTGACTCAGCGGTGGATCTCGGAGGCTTCTGAAGAAGACGATACTTGTCGAAACGTTAGGCAATAAAGATCCACCATAAAAACCTGCTCGGCACAAAATCACTAACAAAGAACACGAGATGCCCAGTTTCAAAGAAGAGAGCACATGGAAACTACTTACCGCTTAAATTTTATTTGAAAACTTATTCAATTGTAATAAAACAGAAAGGCAGTTTATGTTCTCTTTGATTTCGCTGATAAAAACCGTGTGGATAAGGTTCCCATTTATCACCATAGGTGCGATAGTGTGAGAATTTTCTCATCCCCTCTTCACCCCTGAGCCGGGACCAAGGTGACCTCCTTCATCAAAAGCCGAGAAAAAAATCAACAGTGAGGTAAGGTCAAGCAGAGGAGATATTTGTACGTGAATTGTGTATGTACAGGAATGAAGGAGTCTGTTGAACAGCGTGTTTGGTGACGGGTATGCGTAGTGATTTCTGAACATTTTGGAGTTTTTAACATTAAAAAATTCATAACTTTTGTAGATGAACATCTTTTACGGCGAGATAATCCCCGTGGGAACCATATCGTCCTCCGCTTTCAGAGAGCATATAGCATACTGATATCCATTTAAGAAAGTGCGGTGAAGGGTGTGCCTAATGTTTTTTAGGAATTTTCGAGTTTTTAACGTAAAAAAAATTAATAAATTTTGCAAATGAGCATCTTGTAAGCCGTGATGGTCACCATTGGAACCGCCTCGTCCTCCGCTTTCAGAAAATAAAATGTGCATGGGTGAAGGGTGTCCTAGTGATTGAAGATTTTCGAGATTTTAACATAAAAAATTCATAGCTTTTGTAGATGAATATCTTTTACGCCATAATGGTCACTATTGGAACCGTCTCATCCTCCGCTTTTAGAAAATATAAAATTTGCCTGGGGTCCATTATAAAAAGTGTCGGGTGAAGGGTCGGTGAGACTTTTATAATGGTTTTTACCATTGTAAAAAGACGTCTACTTGAGCACTCCCATTATAAAAGTCTCAACCACCCTTCACCCGGCACTTTTTCAACGGACTTCATGCAAAATACATATTTTCTGAAAGCGGAGGACGAGGCGGTTTCAAAAGTAACCATCATGGCGTACAAGATGTTCATCTTCAGAAGTTACGAATTTTTCTACCCTAAAAACTCGTAAATATTCAGAAATCACTACCCACACTCTTCACCAGGCGCTTTTTCAACAGACTCCAAGCAAACTATATATTCCCTAAAAGCGGAAGATAAAGTGGTTTTAAAAACATTTCCCTTGCTGACGTTGCTGTTCATCTACAGAAATTACGAATTTCTTCTTTTAAAATATTCGTACATGTTTGAAAAATTGTCTAACTCTTTCCGAAACAAATGTTCTCGCACGCACATCTTCTACGGTAATTACAAAGACAGGCAGAGTGATGTAAAAAAGGAAAAGGAAATGTTGAAAAAATACAAGGTGCGTCAGAAATATGCTAATCCAGCAGCACATCGGTTCACATTTCAGAAAAAAGATAACCAGTGATGGTAAGGAACAAATTATGAACTTTGACTAGGAAAAATGATGAGAAAACACCATTGCTCCCCCCCCCCCCCCGTCGACATTTTATAACTTCTCTACCACGTGAAACACCTTCACCCTAGAGGGGCTGCGACCACTGTGACTTCTTTCACTCTGGAGGAGTCATTCTCACCTTATCGCACCTGTGTTTATCACGCAAAACATACATGGCGGTCTTCATTGCAGTATGCTTCACCTTGTACTTTATTTTTGCTGAATATCTATTCTCTGATCAATAGCTGCGCACATTCCTAACCATTTCATAATGACAACTTTGAAAAACAGGGAAAAAAAGAAACAAAAACTTTGAAAAACTGTCACCTACCATGCTGCTTGCGCTGCATGGGCGCAAAGAAAACACTTAATGTCAATTGATCTCGTATTTAACAACTTACTAAGGAGGTCGTAGGTAAAAGTAAAATCCGGCAGCGTACTTTCCGTGATCCGGACCCATTATTTCAAAAGGCTTTCATGGAATACGTTATTTGGTTTGAGAACGATTTCTCATAGATTTCATGAGGACAGCCTCCCTGCCACGTATCAAGAGAAAAATTGACACGTTTTTCTAAATGTTTCATTTCCGTGATGTAAAAGAGCACTTGTAGTTACCTAAAAGCTGTTCATCTGTTTTCTATAAGAGCAAAACAAATTAGAACTTATATTAGAACTTCTTGTTGCTTTCAGCAAGATTCAAAATGTCCTTCTCTTCAAAATCTGTGAGCTATGCGAATTTAGCCACGAACAACTATAATTGGCTGATGGATTAAAGTGCCTCGCTACTGCTTGCTTCACCACATAGGTAATGAAAGCCTGGCGGAATTTTTAATTCTGAGCAATTTCAATCTGTTCATTGATAACAGGATAACAGGTTATTGTAATGTTCAGCGTTGAAATTGTTTCATCGAAAATGATGTCATTATTGGTTGAAAAAGGCTAAAAGACAGTTGAACTTACGTCGCTAGGTGCCACAGAAACTCATGGTAAACCTTGTCAAACAAGTAGATAACATACAAAATTTTCTTTACACGTGGTAGAAGGTTGACGCTCCTTCCTGTGAAGTTTGGACTCAATCTGGTATAAGCAAAGAAGCAATATCCAATATCCTTATTTAAAAAAATGGGTCCGGATAACGGAAAAGTACCGTCGGCAGTTACTGGGCCTCTAGTACTTCCATCCCTTCTCTCGGATGATGCCACGCTCGGAGTGCGGTTGATATTTTGGCTGGTTTACTGGTTTGTAAGTTGGGGAACAGTTCAAGCATAGCGTTCGCGTTGTGCTCTGTGCTGGAACTGTCAGAACTTATGAACTTAGCCTCAGGCGACATTCGTAGTTGCCCGGGCGTCGCTCAGGACATCACCAACGTCACGTCGTAAAGCCGCACCCGGCACGAACAGGCCGTGCACGTCACGAAGACAGGCTAAAAGTAGTGCGTGCTGCTGGAGGCGCAGGAGCAGCTGTGACCTACACAAGAAATCGAGCATATCCGCAATGTGGTGGCGTTTGCATGGACCCAGTTGGAGACAAACAAGCAGCTATTGCTTTCCCTGGTTCTGTTTTGTATAACTCTTCGGAGCTTAGACGAGGTGAGCTCTTGATCAAAAAGCCCTCTAGATTCTTGTTCTCCTTGCTTTCAGACAGTTTTGTCGTAGATCTTATATCGCACTTCATTTGCTTAGCAAATATTTTCGGCATCTGCATTCTTGTTTGTCTTCCGAAGCTCTCATCACAGATTCTGCTGTTTTGTCGTCGTTGGCTGTGCATCATCTGTTTTTCTTACATTTGAGTGAGAGGACCATTGATATTGTGGTTAATAGAATGACAGCAACAGCAACGAAACCGCACATATTTGCACACTTAAAGAAGTATTACTCTGCAACATAACACAAATTTGTAAATTCTCAATTTGCAAGCTGTTCACCCTCTGGAGGCTGCTCAGTACCTCATTGTCATCAAGATATAAATTTGAACAGCATGCAGCAGTAGCTCCTTCCTATCACTTTGCAAAGTTTTGCCTCACTCACTTGTATTACGTTACGTACGCTAGCGTAGATAACCTAAGCATTGTGATCTCTTTTGAACATCTCAGTAGTATTCAGAATCAATAGCAAACGGCTGTATCGTCGAGTCATTTGTAACTTAGGCAGGCGCTATACTCTTCGAGGAGTATAGCATGGCGATGATCGATATGCATCAAATACGTGTAAAACCGGCGATTTTTGTCGCCGGTATTGGCGATCGCCAGTCGTAGCGTTGGCGATTGCACATTAAATGTGTATCGATTGCACGTGTGGTAACTTGTTAGCAATTGATACGCATAGAAGACACAGTCGCCAGTATTGGCGACTGTGTCTTCTATGCGATCGATTGCGATCGACTGCGATCGCCCTTCGCCATGCTATACTCCTCGAGGAGTATAGCGCCTGCCTTAATATGCGTAGTGCACACTATACAGCTAACTGACAAACTGCGAAACTAGAACCTGCTCATTTCCAGTGATTTCTCCTTGTTTGTTTTGTTTTAGTTGGTTTCATGTTAATTAGTAGAACACATTTCTACATTAGGTTAGGCTAGAAAATGTTTTACTGGGACCTACTAGTATGGGTGCCGTCGCCAATAGGGCTTAGTGTGCAATCTCACATATTGAACAAATGACTCGAGGTTACATTTGGGACCGCTTAGCGCCATGGCTGCTAATTGTTTCCCTCATAGTGACTCGGCAACTTCTCGTCTAGCTTGTGCATCCTTTCTCTTTTGTTAATATAACAAAATGTTCTACTCATGCGTCTTTCTCTTTCAGATAAAGAATATAATCGACGTACAGTGTATCCACGGTAGAACCTTCTTCAGAGATCTGTTGCGTTGTCTGCAAAGACAGAGGTTTGATTCGTAAACGGAAACAAAATTATGAATTACTTCTTCGCTCATGCGAAACAAATGTCCAACCGAGTATGGTGATGTAATGATAAGAGTGAACTCAACCTACGTTCACACTTTGTTGCATGAAGTGTGAATGCTTATATCCTACACATTCTAAAGGCCGCATACATTAACATCCCCGCGAGGAGGGGGTCGCAGCTAAGAAAAGCTTCATATCCTGAAGCTCCAGATATCTGGATTCCACGCTGTCTACCCCTCAAGTATTCCTACTATCCTTCACTACGAACGCATTAAACAGCAGCGAGAAGTGTACAAGCCGCATTTTCCAGCTTTTGTATGATCCCTGATGATTCCAAGCGCTTCTCTTTAAGGTCATTTTTCTTTCTCCGGGGTTAACGAAAGACTTCCAAAGTTCTGAAGATTATCTATTCCAAAGTGCTTAGCATGTTGCTGATAAGAACGAGTGATGTTTCGGAGCCATGAAATTTGCGATGAACCACAAGTCGAAAGTTGGGGTTCACCAAAAAATTCTTTGTTTCGGAAACTCCTTTGTTGTCATCAGCAGGGTTAAGCGTGAGGTCAGGCGCGCCCGACTCGTATTGGTGGTAAGACTGAGGGGGAGGGGATCGTAGTCAAGAATCGAATTCGCTCAAAAGTAAGGAAGTACAACAATCGAATAAGGAGAAGAAGACAAGCTTTAGACCGATGCATATCACAATTCCAGTAGAACTGAGGGAATGACTGTCGTGACCAGCATATTGATTGACTCATCGAACTCTCAGCCGAATTTCAATTCTCCATCCCTTAACTGACACTACTAAGGTCACCAAAGAAGCTTGCTGTGTAAATTTTGAGTATAGTTTGCTTAATCAGCATATCAAATCCTCTATTAGCACTACGGACAATTACCTATTACATTTTCTAGCGTTTTCTATCGTCTAAAAAGCCTGAAATTTTAACATGATTTACTTTGTTTCAAAAGTGAAAGAAGTCAGCTTTTTTATACTCATAACAAAGTAATGTTCCCTATCAGTCTATGCTAAAAATTGGATTTCATATCGCTTTCAAACAGTGGCTTAGGAAGCGCTGCTAATATTCCAAACATCGCGTTTTTCACCTTGAGCGCGTCAACTTCTCGTATTACCACAAAGCCGAAACAAGTTAAGCTAAGCTCAAACACCTACTGTAGAATGTTCGAGGTTTGTGCTAGCAAATTACATAAAACTCGGATGAAAAAGCGTCTCCGGAGATAAAGTTAATGGGGTCGGGCGCAACCCCTCGAAAGGTCAGGCCGCCTGAGCTTTCGTAGCCTTGCGCCTGACCCGCTTAACTTGTTTTCAAAATAATCAGTCCATTCCTGGTATGGTTTTTGAGCACATAGCCTCTTCTTGCCTTTGTGAAAATTTGGAGCAAAACACTCCACCCCTGGGGAAATTCTGGCTTGTTCGATAGAGCGATTCACATCGAAATCCGCCGTCGAGTTGCGTGTACTTGTAATGTGCAATCACAGAAGAGCGATCATATAGTCTCCTAAAATTCAAAAACTCAGCAGGACAGACTAGTCTTCTCCAAAGTGTCACACTCTGAGGTTCCGGAGGTGGAGAGGATTAAGAGAGGGTCTTTGGGGGCTTTCCTGGTGGGGGGGGGGGGGTCGTTTCCGAACGACTTGTGCCTGACCTTTTGCTCAACTCTGGTCATCAGCAACATGCTTAGCACTGTTGTGTCAGATAAGAGTACAACTTTGGAAGTTTTTCGTTAACTTCAAAGAAATAAAAGTGATTCTAAAGAGAATCGCGGGGATCATCAGGGATCATACAAAAGCTAAAAATGCGGCTGGTTCAACTTCTCGCTGCTGTTCAATGTGTTCATAGGTAAAGGGTAGTAGGAATACTTGCGGACAGGTAGACAGTGTGAAATCCAGACATCTTAAGCTTCAGAATATGAAGCTCTCTTTTGAGCTGCGATCCCCTCCCCAGCGGGTTGTTAATGCATGCGGCCCTAAGAGCGGCTGAGACCTTCAATAATAGACGTCAATGCATGGAAGATATCTTCTAAATGTAAATACATCTTTGAAGTGTTATCTCAGTAGGTGCTAAAGGTGCTAAGTAGTCTGTGCTCGTAATGAATAATCAAACTGAAGATGCCGGTTTGACCTCCGTCGCTGCGGCCATTTTTGCGATGTTGACAAACGTTTGTTTTCAGGGAGTCATTGCGCAAACAAGAGAAATAGCTTCGAGAACAGCATTTTAAGGCGAGCATTCTGATAAGTCACACATATCAAAAGGCCAGGGTCGCCAAGTATCTCTTTGTTGTAATTAGATTGTTATCCGCAATCATCTATAGACTTCCAGAGCCTGAGCTTAAAAGAGCTTTTATTTATCCCATGGGTCACCTTCAAGCATAGTCACCTAGATGGTGGATTACGAGAAGAGAGAGCCTCCTTAGCCAAGTGGCGTGAACCCTCCCATGAAATTTTTTGATGGATGTTGCAGAGTAATTGCAGTATGCATAAATAGTCCAATATTCCAGAAGTACTGCTAAACTCATAGGCTGTAGGCTCATGATCTACAGCGCGAGTTTTGGCATACAAGACATTAACCAAGCTCTCACTAAAATCTGTTCATAAAATTCTTCACACATGTATAGTGTAAAGGATTGAGGTCCCGAGCTCCAGAAATTGGTGGTAAAGAGCTGTCCTGCATCGATATAGGAGCTGAGGACGCCATCAGTGAAATGAAGTGGCGACAAAGCGTGGAGGAAGGTAGCGGGATTGCGCTATGCTTTTATGGTCTGCCACACACAAGTACGCTAAGCAGGTCACACCCCTAGACTGCCAACTTGCCCCTTATCTCTACTGCCTCTCTACTATCCCAAGCTGCATAGTGTTGACAGTTGTGCATCATTAGTAACTTGGTAGCATGAATCATGCTTGTGCCTTTTGCCGCTTTTCATGGACTCCAAACGTAAAGATGGGATAGGACCCAAGTCCTAAGCCCATGACTTAACAGACTTAACATGGCTGTCAATACACCACGATCCTGAATCCATGACCTCAAGCCAACACAAACAACCCAATACAATGGGCTGCGAAGCCGTCCAAAGATGTTACCGAGGGGGTAGTAGGAAGAAAACCTGCAGAGCTGCTCCACCGCCGTGTGTCAAGCGAGGGCGTGCAACCAGATCACCAGATTACCTTGAGGCGACGGATCAATCCTCTATGCGTGGTGATGTTAAAGGTGCGTGAGTTGAGGGGTTGGGTTGCTCGATCTATTGATGGTGGAACACGAGGTAGAAGCCGACCGCTGCTAGTAGACAGGTGTGACGTACGTAGCTTTTTGGATGCAAGCTGCGGTATGAATTTGCGAGCGAGAAAGCGAGAAACGGACAAAGACTGGCGTTTATGACCCCTTCGTGCATAGGCAGCGGACTCCTTCGAGAGTTCGCGCGATCCGCGTCATATAGTATAAGTCTGTGTCAGTAACGCATTCCTTTTTTTGCATGATAAGAATAATAATCTTATATATAAAGCTGAATGTCTGTTTGTCTGTCTGTCTGTATGTATGTATGTACGTATGTATGTCTGTGTGTACGTATGTTCCGAATAGAAAATTCCATTTCTGAACCGATCCGGACCAAACTTGGCACACATACACTTCGGGCCCCGGCGGGTGTCATAGGCTACTTTTCTTCATCGATGCTGGGAGTTGGCACAAGGGGGTAATCGGAATACAATATTAGTTTTCAGGATTATCGGTTACTTTTATCGATTTTATCGCTTTTTTTTTGCAAAGTTTGAGCTACGGGGCTGGGAGTTCGCACAGGGGCGTAATCGAGCATGGGGATTCCGAATACAATATTGGTTTTCGGGATTATCGATTACTTTTATCGATTTTTTTTACAAAGTTTGAGCTAGGGGGCTGGGAGTTGGCACAGGGGGTAATCGAGCATGCTGATCACCCCCAAGGGGGGTGATCAGCATGCTCGATTACACCCCTGTACCAACTCCCAGCCCCCTAGCTCAAATTTTCAAAAAATCGATAAAATCGATAAAAGTAATGGACGATCTTGAAAACTAATATTGTATTCGTAATCTGCATGCTCGTTTACCCCCCTGTGCAAACTCCCAGCCCCGCAGGTCAAACTTTACAAAAAAAATCGATGAAAGTAATGGACGATCCCGAAAACTAATATTGTGTTCGCAATCGGCATGCTCGATTACCCCCCGGTGCAAAATCCCAGCCTCGCATGTCAAAATTTGCAAAAAATCGACAAAATCAATAAAAGTAATCGGTAATTCTGAAAACTAATATTGTATTCGGAATCCCCATGCTCACTTCCCCCCCTGTGCCAACTCCTAGCCCTGTAGGTGAACTCTGCGAAAAAATCGATAAAAATCGGTAAAATCGACATCGATCGATAACGAAAAGTGGACTGTGACACCCGCCGGGGCCCGAAGTGTATGTGTGCCAAGTTTGGTCCGGATACGGCGGAGCCGGGTAAGCCAGCTAGTAAGATAACAAGATTCGAATCACGTCACGAGTAGTTTCATGGGAGTGCTGATCACTGCAAATGTAATTATTATTAGCTAACAATCAGGTCAATCCTTTTCTTAACACGTTGACGACAACTTGTATTTTCACTTCTCCGCCTTCTGGGACAGACCCTTTTACCAATAACTTGAGATTTTTCATCTGAAATTACTCATGATATAATCTACAATACATCTAGCGCAGCTCTGAGAGGATACCGGGAAACATGGAGGTAATTTCTAGATCCAGCGCGTAACAAAGTCCTTGAAGTGAGTCTGTTAAAAGGAGAAGACATTTTAACGACATTCAAGCTGTGGCCCATCATGTGGGCACATCGTCCAAGTGGCAGTCATTGCATAACCCACCATGAGGGTCACGTTGTTGTCAATGTGTTAAATATTCATATACTATATTATCCTTTTCAAAGCCTGCAAAAACCGAACAAAGTGCTTGTAGAACAAATTTCATAATAAATTCCAGCTTTTATGTGCTCTCCGAAAAGCGTCTTTGGACTTGCTTTTTAATTTTCTGAATAGACAGTGAAAT